CGGAGTACGCGAAAGCGCGTTTTCGCTGGACGGAGGACTTGGTGGAGGAGTCTAGGGGGGAAGGGGGTCTGCGCAGGATTTGCGCAGAACTGATTCAGGGATGCGCAAGTGCGACGAACTTTCGTCCTGCCGCAGTAGGGGTTAATTAATAAAGGATTATGTAGAGCTTACATGGCCTAAAGTCTGAACTCCTAGTATTCCCCTTGCTCTGTAATGGGAACCCTAGAGAGCCCCCTATATAACCCACTTTAAGAAGTTTAGAGTTTAGACGGCAGCTGATATATGAGGCCTCAGACGGCGACTCAAAAAAGGTGAACTGCGCCAAAAGCGAGGTCAGGCCATGCATTAACCTTGTTGCCACGCCTTGCACTTCCTCTGCCAACCCGCATGACCAAACTTGCTGAAGGTGAAGCATATGGCAGTTGCCCTCAAAAGGGGACCACCATATAGAACCCAATATGCCATAGTCATTATTATTGGGACTCCCTAAAATGTTGCCCCTCCAAAGCATGCACTCTTCTTTTAACTTCTTCCTCTACTGAGCGGCATGTCAGCATCAACGTGCTTGCAGGGCATGCCTCGGAAACTCTTTGGACACATCCTGCACATCCACGCACACGTGGAACGCGAGCAAAAGAATCCAGCTGGCAGCTTGGGACAGTTAAAAACATCCCAGCGCCAGCCTTCCATGGAAGATGAAAGATGCGTCCACACGGCGACAATGCAACCCAGTAAATGACCGACGTTCACTGCTACAAATGGGGGGCAGCATCAAAATGCGGAACAGCTGTCCAGCTCTGCCGATGCTTCGAATAGAATCAAGCAGGACAGGATCATCCTGCACTGCAGCATGCTCTGCTTAGCAGAAATTGTTCACTCCTTTGTTTCCTCTTGGGCGCCTTCAGCAGCCACCTTAACCTGGGATGCTTCTAAGAAATTTACTTCAAGTTAATATATTCCTATTGTGGAGAAATGTTAATGACCATATATACTCATTATGGTAACTTAATCTAACTTCCCATTAACAGCAAACCAGTAACCTTTCTGATAGCTTCGCGTAGGAAGTCATCGCGCTCCTCATCTGTGTAAACCACAGCTACCGGCTTGCTGGCCGAACACAGCTTCCTGGGCTGCTGTTCTGAAACTTCAATGAAGTTACTACGACAGGGGTATATAGGGTTTATATAGGGTACATACAGGGTGTATATATATATATAGGGTATAGGTTTATATATATATATGTATGTATATAGGGTATATGTAGGGTATCTAGGGTATATATAGGGTTCTGGGTTTAGGGCTACTATAATTGTAAGGAAACCCTATTATTTACTGTATTCCCAAAATGTGGTATCTTAAACTAAGTAACTTAACACCATCCCAGCTTCTGGATGACACTGGTGCAGGTGCTGATGGCCATGCCTGCCCAGACCCCCTAAAGGATCCAAAAAATGGAACCCTTCAAATATGAACCCATTACTACATCAGGGAAGTCAGGGTATTGTTGGGAGGTTCCATTTTTTGGATCCTTTAGGGGGTCTGGTTGTCTCAGGGTCTCACAAGGACCTCCTTTAACTCTTTGGATCTCTGTGGTAGCTATTTGCTTTTAAGTGCCCCCCTTATAACCCCTGTATAACCCTAAATAGATTAAACCCTAAATTAAGCCATTAACTAACCTCTATATAGCCCCTATTTAACCAAGAAAGTTTATCCCTTCCTTCATTGAACCCCTATGTTAATCCGTGCCTGCCCAGGACCTTGTAACCATCACACACGTGATGAGGGCATGCTGTGACAGGAGCGGCCCCAATTCGTCATCATTCATCCAATTGATGATCTTGGAGCTATTCGACATGGAAGGAGTCCTGCAAAACGGGGGGGTTGGGTTTCGGGTTTAGGATGCAGGGACCAGGGTTTAGGGGCCTGGAACACGCCTTGGAAAATTGCGTGGGTTGAGAGCTCAGGACTTGCTGGAGCTGAACATGACTGTGCCTCAACTACCAGGTTATAGTCCCCCTTAAATAGATAGAATATGGGGTATATGGGGATCTTATTATAGTTTACCCAAAGCCATATTCTATCTACTTAAGGGGGACTATATATTTGGGAGGAGCAGGCCCCAAAGGAGAGGTGGCAGGTGCACAGCTTGCTACTCCAAAGAGCTGAGTGCGCACCGTGCAAGAACTCCTTAGCATTCGGAGGTCATAGCACAGAGCGAAATCCACCTTCTCCTCAGCTAAGCTGGAATCCATGGCGCACACTGCGGTCAATTCTGCAAATTTGCCATTTACTTGCGAACACTAACATCAAGATGTCCAGAAAAGCATCTCGAAGGACGGTAGCCATCGATGCTAAGGCCTTGTTCAGGGCTTCCTCCGTGATTTCAGCATCAGCTGCCTCTCACAGGAGTGAAGCCGACCAAAAAACAAGCCAACAAGCTTCTCCCATGGCCCTCCATAGGGGTTAATCTTGGGGATATAGGAGTTTAATACAGGGCTTATGTATAGGGGTGACCGGGTTGGCCCCTAAAACCCTTTTAAAAATATTAGTACATAGGGTCCTTTATTTAAGCCATTAGGGAAAATATTAAATATCCCAGGGGCCTACCCAGGTGAGTGGCCTTCAATTCTTTGAGCTCCGCAACTCAGCTCCAGAGTCTTTAGAGCTCAGATTTCCCCGCGATCAGAACCCTAAACCCCCAAACCAAAACCCTAAAGGGGTTGTATAGGGCTTCTCTAGGGTTTCTATCAGATTCTACAGGGGCCATACAGGGGTCTATGGGATCTCTATGGAATCATTTAGGGGTTCTATGGCGGGTATGTAGGGTTATATGGGGTCAGAAAGGGGTTCCATGGAAGTTAAAATTAGCTATATTCTCAACTCCTAGTTCCCCCTTTGTAACCCCCTATAATACTCCCTATATAACCCCCTTTACGGAGTTTAGACTTTTGCTCAAATAGGGGTGTTACAGGGGTTCTATGCAGAGTCAGTAAACCCTAAGCCCTAAACCCTAAAACCTAAACCCTAAAACCTAAGCCCGAAACCCAGTCATCCACACAGCCGCCCAGCCTGGAGGAACATCACAGGCATGCCGTGCTCGGTGCCCTAACCAACTGGCACACGTACTTGGAGGGTCATGGGGACTTAGTAAGAATAATGGGGATAACTAGGGTTTCTCTATGAATTATGGGGGCTATTAACTTACTTGCTAAGTCCCCCTGACCGCCCAGTGGCCCGAGGTCAAAGACAAATCACATTTCTCTTTTGGTCCCCGCCTTCAAGTAAACTGAGGCAAATCCGGTGTCATCCAAGTAGCTCCTCACTTCGTCTGGTGCTAGTTCAAGGGAGCTGTCGTCTGCCTGCCCGTCACAACTGATCAATTCTAATCGCTGAAGCTCCACAGAAAATTGCCCTGATACGATTCGCGCTAGCACTTCCATGAAGATCGAACTTCTCCATTTTTTGAGGTAACGGGCTATGTCTCAGGCCGGCACATGCGTCTTTATAACATGCATCCGTATATCTGTAATCTGTTTCTGCACCGGCTGTTCTGTACAACTGGCCGGTGCACCCATGCCTGTTTCAAACATCTTGAAACGTTGACTTGACAAGCCTGTACTCTCGCCAAGTCCTGCAGGCAAAAACGGAAGGTCGTTCAGGGCCCCTCAGTGTTGCTAGCCACCTTGTAGTCTCGAAGCTCGAGAAAGCGTAGGCGGCGGCAATACTCCTCAAGGCTCCAGGGTGAGCCTGTTGTCACCTTGCCTGTGCCTTCCTTGTACCAGGAAGTACAGGCTTTGTCTGACCAAACTCGGGTTCCTTGAAGCTTGTCTAGTTCCGAGTTGTAGGATTTGAAAACATCCTCCCTAACTTCCATGCGTTTGATACGCTGACGTATCATAGCTGAACAGCACTGTTCGATGTAGCGCGCCTGGTTTTCCGCAACCCATACGATGCTGCCACCGGCTGCCACATTGGAATTGGGCCCATAGGTCAGGAAAAAATTGGGGAAATGTGGCACTGAAACTCCCAAATATGCGGATGGCTCTGGTCCCCAAAATTCGCGAAGGCGGAGCCCATCAACGCCAAAGACCTCCATGGCTGCCAGACAAAACTCAGTAGATCTGAAGCCCGTGGCCCAAACTATCACGTCCACGTCCTCCGCCACTTCTTTCCTGTTTAGGGTTTAGGGGTTTAGGGTTTAGGGTTTAATTGGAAACGATCATTACTACTCTATATTGGGCCCAGGTATACATAAAATAGCAAAGTGTTGTTAAACAAGAACCCAATTTCTTCTGCGAGTTCCCTGCAATGACACTGCGTGGTCCAAGCTGTGAGACATGGGAGCTGATGAGTGTCACGTTCTTGCGCTTGAGCAAATCAAACCAGCCATTGTCTACCAGCAGTCGCGTGCATGCAGGTGGGTAATTGGGCGTTGCCTTGCATTTTGCTGAGGCAGCATCACACTTGATCACTTTTGATCTAGATTAGGTTAAGGTGTACACAAAAGTGTCGCATACTATTCAATGGCAACCCAGTTGCCTTTTGAAGAAGATCCGGATGCCCTGCCAGCTCATGTTCGTAATATTTCGTGAGCGAGTCCCACAGAGAGGAATTCACAGTAGATCCTGCCGTCATCATTTCCTCGTAGATATCTGTGAAGTGGGCCAAAAGTTGGAAGCGGTACCACCTTTCGTAGAAAGGCAAATTTGCAAAGCACCACCTCTCACCCTCCGGAATTTCCCATTTGTAGTTCGGGATCTTTGTGCACCACTGGGGCGTACCCTGAAAAATTGTAAGATGTGTTGCGACTGCAGCAATTGAGGGGGCAACCTGCATGCAGGAGGCACCACTTCCAATGATGGCAACGTTTTTGCCCACAAGCGAGGTGTTGCTGTCCCAGCGAGCCGTGTGGAATTGCTTCCCTTGGAAATTACTCTCTCCATGTACCTGGGGGATTTTAGGGATGGATAGCATCCCCACAGAGGAGACGTAGACATTGGCTGAAATGCATCCGGTACTGCCGTCCCCGCGATGGAAGGCCACTTCCCAGCAGCTGGACGCAGCATCGAACCTGGCAGACTCCACGGTATGCTCAAAGAGCACATGCTTCATGATGCCATACTTCTCTGCAAGGGAAACGAAATATGTCTTGTTCTCGTGGCCCTTTGCGAAGTATCGCGTCCAGTTGGGGTTGGGGTCTGATGCAAAGCTGTACACATGGGTCGGCGTGTCGCAGCCAACATTGGGATACAGGTTGCAATGCCAGGTTCCGCTGATGCCATCACTGCCCTCAAGGACTGTGAAAGGAATGCCAGCCTTCTTGAGTCGAATCGACACTGCTAAGCCACAAACGCCGATGCCGCAAATCACAACATGGAAATCCTTTACATCCCTGAGTGGAAACTCGTCCGCGTTGCAGCTGGGGTATCCGTACATCTCATCCAGGAGGAAGTCCCAGGCACTCTGCGATAGTGGCCTTCTCATGGATGCCAGTGCCTCATCGTACATATCTTGCCCAGCATGCTGCACCAGCAGCTGGAAAAGCTGTGATTTTTCCATGGATGCTGCGGTTGCTTGGGTTGCCCGGTGCTCCACAAGTAGATTGAAAAGCTCGGACTCTAAGCTCTCCCTGCTCGCCTTGAGCCATCGCTTCTCTCCAGTCAGCTGCGCGGTGACGATTTGTAAGAGTACGAGCTTGGCATCGCGAAGCCCAGCTCTGATGGAGGCGTCCGTGGTGCCAGGCGGCACCAGCGGCTGATGCGTCCAGCGCTCCATAGCAGGATAGCAGGATCTGCAGCCCTCCCCCCTGAAGCCTATTCTTGAGCCGTTGGGTCACACAGATTCCTACTCTCTGCCAAAACTTTCCCATCCTGGGATGGTCATTCGTGATGCATGGCATGTGCAGGATTTTCCCGGGCCGCCTGTGCCACCGCCGCTGCCGCCATCGTTTTGGCAGAGGCTTTGCAAAAGCACCCCAGGGGCTCAATAAGTCATGTCTTGGGCCAAACGAGCCAAGGTGAGCTGTTTACACAAACTGGTCAATTACAAAGCTGGCTGCATCTTGCGAGCAAAAGCGAATCCCTAGTACTCAAGGTGCGTTTTGTTGGAATGCTCTAACGCGCTTCTCTTTGGCAGTCAAGAGCGTTGAACTACAGTCATCTTGTCCAGGCCCCCGGTAGCAGGCAGCTGGCAATGTTTGCCAGCTTTGTCTCCAGGGACTCCACCATGTGAGCTTTTGTCTAACCTCCTAGCATCCCCCTTAGTAACCCAAAATCGTCCCCTGTATCATCCCCCCTATTACCCCTCCCTAAGGAGTTTAGACCCTAAACCCAAACCCTCTATAATCCCATATATATATATAGATATATGTACATATATATATATATATAACACCCTGTATAAGGCCTTAGGCCCTGTATAAGGAGTTTAGACTACAGCTCAAGCTTCGGCTGCGCATCACGCAGCTTCAAGTTCGGTGTCCTCGGCATGCTGGCGCCGCTCCATACGAGCTGCCAAAATGGCCATCTCCGCCGTCTGTTCTGCCTGTATGCGGTTTAGGGTTGAGGGTTTAGGGTTGAGGGTTTAGGGTTCAGGGTTTAGGGTTGAGGGTTGAGGGTTTAGGGCTAACAGTGGTTCAACATTCTTGTCTTGTGAGATCATTCGGCAAGCGATGTGGGCTTGGGATATTCTGTGGGATTGCGCGGCCTCAAGCCTAGTAGGATGCTTTGAAAGTATGAGCCATATTTAGGGGGCTAGGGTCTGGGGTTTGGGGTTTACAGTAGGGTTTAGGGTTTAAGCAGTGTAGCCGGAAGGCGCCATGTCATTCTCCAGTATTGGGGATAGAGTGCCTAGCAAGTGGTGTGTTTACATGGGTTTCTTTCAGCAGTTTTTTCGCTTGGACCAGGGACGGCACAGGGTCGTCGTTTTTCTTTCTTCCTGTTGAACGCCTTTGCGGCCAATCTGATTGAATGGCTGGATAGGGCAGTCCCGCATGGTACCTGTGCTATTTGGCTTCCATTTGCACACCAAGCTCTTGTCGAGGCTGACAAGAAAGCACCTGCAGTTGAGTTGGACGCGGAACCTTCCCC